GAAAAAATGATTCTGCATTTTGTATGGAACCAGAAAAAAACCCGTATAGCTGAGGCAGTTTCTTAGTAATAAAAACAAAGCTGGGGGCATCAGAATATCAGATTTTAGGCTATACTACAAAGCCATTAGTGGTCAAGACAGCCTGGTACTGGCACAAAAATAGAAACATAGACATTTGGAATCGAATAGAAAACCAGGAAGTGAAACTAACATCTTACAACCACATAATCTTCGATAAACCAAGCAAGAACATACACTGGGGGAAAAGCTCCCTATTCAATAGATGGTGCTGGGAGAACTGGCTATCACGTGTAAAAGACTGAAACTGGACTCACACCTTTCTCCACTCACAAAGATTGATTCAAGACGGATAAAGGACTTAAATTTAAGGCATGAAACAATAAAAATCCTCAAAGCATAGGAAAAACACTAGAAGATAGCAGCCTCGGGAAAGACTTTGTGAAGAAGACTGCCATGGCAATGGCAACAACAACAAAAATAAACAAATGGGACTTAATGAAACTGAAAAGTTTCTGTATAGCTAAGAAGACAACAACCAAAGCAAATAGACAACCTACACAATGGGAAAGGATATTTGCATATTTTAAATCAGACAAAAGCTTGATACCTAGGATCTATAGAGAACTCAAATTAATCTACATGAAAAAAGCCAACAATCCCATATATCAATGGGCAAGAGACATGAATAGAACCTTCTCTAAAGAAGATGGATGAATGGCTAAAGAACATATGAAAAAACTGCACGTCATCCCTAATTATTAAAGAAATGCAAATCAAAACCACCCTGAGATGCCAACTAACCCCAGTGAGAATGGCCCACATCACAAAAATCTCAAAACTGCAGATGCTGGCATGGATGTGGAGAGAAGGGAACACTTTTACACTGCTGGTGGGACTGCAAACTAATACAACCTTTTTGGAAGGAAGTATGGAGAACCCTCAAAGAACTCAAGCTAGACCTCCCATTTGATTCTGGAATCCCATTACTGGACATATACCCAGAAGGAAAAAAATCTTTTTATCATAAGGACACTTGCACTAGACTGTGTATTGCAGCTCAATTTACAATCGCCAAAATGTGGAAACAGCCTAAATACACACCAATCCAGGAATGGATTAACAAGATGCAGTATATATACCTATGGAATACTATTCAGCCATTAAGAAAAATGGAGACTTTACAGCCTTGTATTAACCTGGATGGAAGTGGAACACATTATTCTTAGTAAAGCATTACATGAATGGAGAAGCATGAACCCTATGTACTTAATTTTGATATGAGGACAATAATGTCAATTAATGACACGGTGAGGGTGGAAGAAGAGGAGAGCAGAGAGAGAAAGAATGAGGGGGTGAAGGAGGAGGGGGGTGAGGTCTTGGTATATGACACTTTGGGGGGCAAGACACAATTGTAAGAGGGACTTTACCTAACAAATGCAAGCAGTGTAACCTGGTTTCTTGTACCCTCAATGAATCCAAGAATTTTTTTTAAAAAGTGATTAAAGTACGATCACACCAAAAAAGAAAAAAATGAACTATCTCCAAATATAATTAATTAAAAATCCTGAATAGAGGCTCGGGCCCTGTGGCTCAAGAGGCCAAGGCGCCAGCCACATACACCT